AATGACTACTCCCACCTTGGGTGAAGCGAAATGGAGTTTCAGACTCTAACTGACTTCTTTTTACTGCTCCGGACCTCGGTATCGATACATCTCAGTCTTTGACCCATCAACCACAGCTGGCATCGGTCCTAGTAAACACCCACCTTTGATACTTCTTTGATGCACGACCGGCATAAAATAAAACTATACTCCAATTTCTATTTGATTCTAAACTTTATTGTTTTGTAATAAAATTCCTTGTACATTGAGTTATCAGAGTAGGTTGATGTGCTCTGTCCACCGCAAGTTGTCAGTTACAACACTACAAGTTACAACGGACCAACGGAGGTGCTCGATTACATTGATCGTGATGCAAACAAGACTTGGATGTTGTTGCGTTGTGGTGGAAGCCATTGTAACGAAGTGCTAAACTGACGCTAAACAAAACTCTACAAGTCAAGTTTAGGCGCATTTTCTATGAATAATACGAGATGTGTCGTGGTTATTCTCACAAAAAAAATTGGACAATTTCTTTCCAGTTTAAGTCTATAGTAGTATGCTATCTATTACTATACCAAAATTCATCAAAACCACTCCAGCGGTTTAAGCGTGAAAGCGTTACAAACGAACTTACTTTCATACTTAATATAGCATTAAATAAGTGAGGACATTAGTCATACTTGTAAAGTGACGTAACAGATCTGTAATTGATTTTACATAACTATGTACACTTGTATATTTTAACTAAGAAATGTTTTATGATTAACGAAGACCAAAGTAACAATTGGCCACTTTCTTAACCACGATTTCAAGTTAATATTGTGACTAGAGTTTTGACCGCGGTTTCAGATTATGAAATTGAATGGAAAGTGAATAGGTATAAATATATGAAACGGGATATTTATAAGCGTTTTAATGAGTACTCTAGTATTCAGATTGATTGATAAAGTGACTTCTAAAGTGTAGAAAGCACTTTACAATGCGTGATAACAATGGAATCTCCTTCATAGTATTATAATATTTAGATGCAGTTACACAATGTCCTTAGCTCAAACTATGTAAATACGATTTTCGCACACACAAATATTTTTTTAACTATTCAAGCGTTTTTCCATTCCCACGGCAATTATTTCATAGAATAAAATAATGAGATTACATAATTTTCTATGCAGTTAAAACAATAGTGAAATGAGTCATATATTTCAATGCACAACATCATTAAATAAAGTGAATTAGCTGTGCGACGTACGACGTGTCTTTTTTGTAGCAGCACGTAATACTGCTCAAGAATATGAGCTCCTAGTAGGTATAGCGCGAAACTAGGGTCGATTTTCGTGCTGTTAAACATAACAATAATTTATGTACCTAATTACATACCTACCTATATATCTGTAGGTCATACAAATATTTGTTGCAATACGGTATTGACCCGTCCTTCGTAAGGAAAGCCTTGGACTAATGAGCCAAATAATTAATCGCTATTCAGCTGATACAATGAGGCAAACTAATACAAAGTCCCAGACTGATTAATTAGACCAAATATGTATTAAGAACACTTTTTGATATGCCCTCTAACCTTGAAAGTCGCTTCAATTTATACCATCAACTACGTTTTTTCTTTAATAAAAACCAGAAACATTACTTTGGAAGCGAACTCAAAAATAATTTATACTGGAATAATATTATAAAGCTGAAGAGTTTGTTTGTTTAAACGCGCTAATCTCAGGAACTACTGGTTCAAATTAAATAATAGGAGATGAACAATAATAAGAGATAATGTAGGAGCCGAGTAGCGAGTGAAACCGCACGAGAGAAGCTAGTATGTTATGAAAACTTTATCTTTTTACAAGGAGTATCATTTATTACATTTCCCTATAATCATTTGCGATCAAAACGTTTGTTATTTCCCATTGCGAAGACAATACAAACTACAAACAGTAGTTATTTAGCACACGTAACTAATAATGATCGTGACGACGTCGGTAATTGATGCGCCTGCGCTTCTATAAACTAGGAATTCCTGTTCTTGTATCCGTGTCAGTTGGATTGGTCTAACTTGAACATTATTGTATGCTAATCATCTTGTCGTCAGCTTTACACTTTGTAAACTAAATAAATTTTCATACAATTGACACAAAACAAATGATTCGTCAGCCTGTCATCCATTTTGTTTAGCCTCGTATGCATTTAACAAGATTAGGACCAACCTGTAAAGTGATTGTTACTTTAAAAAAAAATAAAAATCGTAGTACCTACTTAATAGTAAATGATAAGGTTGTTAATGACATTTCTCTACAACTTAAAGAAAACAATCTCTTCTCTTTGACCTCTTCGAAGCACGTGGGTATCAAGGAAGCATAACAATGAGTCAGTGGTCGCTATGGGCGAGCGCATGTGACGATGACGAACAAATTGGATTATTTGTACCGTTTGCACCGACAGACAACTCATTTTCTAATAAACGCCGCAGTTATTGCGCAAGTATTGTTATTCAAGCAGTCGGTAAACACTCCGGCCATTCTGTTCCCATTTGTTAACTTGATATTATATTCTGGTATCGACGATTGTTTGAAGAGAAGATAACGTAAAACATACCGTAAAAAGCAAAAAATTTACAAAGGATTAAACTCTACTGGTCCACTGGTTGTAAGTCCTAAGTACCAGGGGATCAGACGCAAGAAGAGGTAAAAACTTTAGATATTTAGTCCAAACAATGTCATGTTCAATTGCCATTCAATTCTGATCACATAATGTGGTCATTGCCACCTTCTAAATTGTTCTCAAAAGTTTTAGGTTTGCGTAATGATAGTTTTTTTAGTGTTTAGCTTGTAGTTTTTCACAACAACCGTTGTTAAGTTGAAGTTACATGATCGGCGTGTTGAAGTTATGTCATGTAAGGTAAGAACAGTTGATGCTCGGCGCATCTTACATAAAATAATATGTAATAAGGAAAAAAATAAATATTTTGCCAAGTCATTGTCCAAGTGGCTGCTGGATTACAAATACCTAAATAGGCAGCTGTAGGTACTAATTTTTATTTAATTTGTTTCTTTCCTAGAACACAGACTACCGATGTTACCTAATCAAAACTAGACAATTGCTCTTATTTACAGTACCTACCTCACCCATTATGTAACACAATAAGTGTATAATGCTGCGTATTACGCTCTTTGTTTATAATTATCTAGTTGTATATATCCATCCGTTAGATAAGGTGGATTTATTATTGACTACCTCTTCGGCAGAGGTGCTACCCTAGTACAAATATGTATAATAATGTGCTACTTCCATCAAACTCTTTGTCAAGAAACACGAGTAAAAACAATCAGAAAAAATTTAATGCCCTAAGTAATAAACATTATGATAAAAACGAACAATCCAAATATTGTAAAAAAAATGCTCGAAATAATTAATAATAAGGTCATTACAACAAAAGATCAGCGAAGATTAAACATATTTTAATTAGCGGGTCACGACTTCTTAGAGGATATTTTTTGCTTTAATCCTTTTGGGCTTATCGCCAAGGGTCCTTGACAAAAATAAAGGAAAAAGATTTACAACAAGACATAAGCATAATCTGCAAATTATGAGGTTTACGTTTAAATCGATCTCGTAGCGCCATCTAGGTATAGCGCCTCGAACTTTTTTACCAACGAGACATTTTACATATATTGACGTTTATAAATTTCATACATATACTAATACGTGTGTTTCCTTACTCTATGGATATGAAAGACGTCACATCTCTTGAAAAAAAATACAAAACGTAATTAGCACGTTTGATATATGAAAAAGTCGTGATAATCATCAACATGTACCTACAACATACATGTATCACAAAACAAATGTAAACACGATGAAATTAAATTGAATCCTTATCAATTAAGTTTTTGTTCTGAATATAATTAAGTAATGAAGCTGCATAAAATATTATTGCACCACATTAAACAATATTGAATGAACAGATACAGAATATCATTGCATGTGATGCGCGCACGCAGGTCGGAGCGGTTGCGGCAGGTTGTTGTGGATCGCGGTTGAAATTGACCGACGTTGACATTTGTGTAATTACTGTAACCACATGTTGTTAACTAGTTGTTGTTAACTCGCAACACTGATGAAATGATGTGTGTTATATTGTAGGTAACATGTTGTTGAAGTATTTATTAGTCACATAACATGAGAGATTCGCGTGCGAGCGTACAAGTTTACAGATCAAAGATATTATTGTCCTAGGTCCCAGAATGCAGCCAGGGTTACTAGTCGAGTGCTATTACGTACCGCGTCCTCGTCCTAGGAGTCTGACACTCCCGCCTGCATTAGCCATTAAAGTTTGGAGAGTGTCATCTACATAGATCGAGATGTTCCAATTAAATTGATTATTTTTCCATTGTGCACCTGACTAAACATGAGATATATCCTAAAAAGGTCTAATTGATTCGTAAGACAAGCAACCACAGGCCGCAAGCCTTCGCAAAAAAGGTGCAGTTTCTATGTCATATTTTGAATAACGAATTAGACAGGATAATAAATGGTTCAAGGTCTATCTTTAAGAAATCATTATTTCAAGCATTCATTGTACACGTCACCGTGCTCGAGTCGTGTTTTTATATTTTAGGTTCAACAGTTTCAGATAAGGTTGTGGGTGTAAGCGCAATAATGTAGCAACTGGGGTTGCTTTTAGTCAGTGAAAGTCTGACACTCCCTGTCCCAGTCCTCACCTAGGGCGGGAGAAGCCATTGATGACTTATCTCCATCAACAAAGCCTCAACACAAAAGAAATAAAAAAAGGTTTTCCGCCGCAATGTTTATACTAATAATATATATTATGTTTCCTCGTCCCTTACAACAATGGAGTTAAAGAAATATTTTCGTTGTTCTTTCTTTGCACGGTAAATACACGTTTACCTATTTCTTCAGACAACATGTAGGTATGTTTTGATTCATGACGCAAGTTTTGCGTTATGATTTTCATATGAGTTTTCCTTGAGTAAAAATAATAATTTCTACTGTGAACTCACCTGCGATGGTGTTCAGGAACATGAGATACTCGAAGTTGGAGATTTCACGACGCTGCCACTTCTGTGTCATGTTGGAGTTGCGCATGAGTTGCCGGGGCGACATCATTGAAGCGCGCCTGTAACAATACAATAGAATTCGGTTAATAAAATTAGATTTCTTGAGTTGTCTTCTAGGAATGGTGGACAATACCTACTTTAATACTTTATTTCATTTTCAAAATATGTTCAAAATTAAGACTAGGCATCATTCCTTTAAACTTAATTACTGTTTTTTGTATTGCATAATAGTTTGGAGCAACAAAACACGTTTTTTGGTGTATCGCAGTAATTTAATTAAAGCCTTTTTTTTGCATATAATGCCATCTATTTTGGGACTAGATAAACATCAAACGATTATGGAATATATTTGTGCACGTGCTACTCTATCTATGTGATATTAAAACACGATTATTAGACACTAGGTAATTAAAACTACACGAGTTTAGCAGCTTCGCATGAGTTTTAGAAGCGTTTATGATCAATTTGTATTCGTGGGCCCATCAAAATGTACTTTGTTTCGGTTCGGTGAGTGTTCAGAGAGCCAGGCCAATTTAAAGATGGGGAGCAAAAAAAAAACATGTTATCATGGAAATTACGAGCGATAATTTCGGGTAATTTATTTTTGCTAATACCTACCAGTATGTAAGTAAGTAGTAGATATTTTGTTGCTATTTTTTAAACTAGTTGTCACGTTTTAGTTTAAATATGAAAACAATTCTGTTTGTTACTCAGTTGCTATAAGTGGACAAAAAAACTATGTTGACAATGGCAGTACCTATTGAAAACAACAGCAGAGACTCAGTCGCCATGATAGAAAAAAGAAAAACTGTTTGTAGCGGATTTTAAACATATCATCTTCTTAAAATGTTTTGTATTAAAATTGTCGAATTATAACAATGATATTCATAGGCTTCTAAATTTCTAGAGCGATTGAAAACAAACAACCAGTAATCCTACATACTTCGCAAATATATATGATCCACCAAGTTATGCAAGTTGATATTCCGCTGACGGTCGAGTGGAACTTAATTATGCAATAATTATACAGTTTTTGTTTATTTCGATCCGTGTCGGGATCATCTTGGAAACATTTAGATGGCTCGATATTGCATAATGTTACACAAGACGCAATAATAACGTTAACCGGTTGTTGCGGGCAATTTCGCAGTTGTGGCAGTTGCAGCAAATTGACATGTAATGTCTCCGTGGCCAGATCGTAATGATTCCATTTACATACAAGATGTCTTATAACGGTCTCTCTTTGTTGTCAAGCAAACGCTACTACCCAATTAAAGATTTATTGGAAAAGTCAGGTTTTCCATCTAGATCTGCATGAAGATGTTGACATTTCGAACTAGATCGGGTTTTAAATGTACGCCGCGTCTCAACAACCGAAAACGTGATTTAGATATATACGTATATACTTCGTTAAATTGCATCTTTTGAGCGGTCACAATAATTAGTCACTTAAATTTCTCATTTAGGTACAATTAGTGAGGCAAGCTAAATATTTTTGGGTATGTATGTAATTATTTTTTTATGAGGAAAATAAATTATTCATTTTTAAAGTTGAATTACTTAAGTGGCTTCGTATTTTTGAGTGCCATCGACCCAGTGCTCTTGACCATGAGATTATTTGGTCAATAAATAAACAAAAGGAAGTGGACCATATTTCATATGTAGTAAACAGTAAGTAAAAGTTGCGTACATAACACGGGAGTAGTTTGTTTCCGCTTTGTGTTATCGCTGCGCAAGCGCACCTCGAGCATTGAACTGTCAAACCCCTTGTTTGTCTGTACTCATTCTGCGAACTGTATTCTTTTTCCGTGATCTAAATTCTTATATTTTTCCGGCTTAGAATAGGAGTATACAAATTTTAATATTATTAGGAAGATGTGTACCTACATGAACTTGAGTTTAATATATAACAGAAAAAGTTATACCTACTTCTAACAAGTAGGTAAGGTATTATTTTTTGTGTTATATTACATATATAACAACTTTTTGCTCTTTTTGTTTGTACAGTTCCTTATAAACATGTTAATTGAAAGAAGGTTTTCGAAAAACAAAGATACATAGATTACCATTACCCATGAAATGAGACAAGAAATAAAAATATTGTTCCTTGTAAATAGTTCAAACAAATTAGCAATAGCGTTTAATTATTAAAACGAGGAAGTCGGTCACGTGCATCAGTTTTGCGTGTCAAATAGCAATACGGGCGGCGCCGCGTGGCGAGCTAGTAGTAGTGATCGGTGTCAGGGTCAGCTTATAAAGCGCGGTTGTCGACCTGCGCGCGCGCCGCCTCACCGTCTCTTGTCTGCGGCCTGCGTACACGCATGCAGGGACCTTACCTTTTGGTCTATCACTGCACTGACATTGTAATTAACGATTCATAAATTGTGTTCTCGACTAATAAAAATTTAAATAGTAAAATAAATTTTAATGGTAGTGTCTTCAAAGGGCTCGTTTAAGATTAATTATGGGATTCGGTAAGTTAATACAAAATGAAAGCAGTACAATTGTACACACAGGTATAAAACTATCTAATTTATTCTTTTTAAGTTCTTGACATTTCCTATGGCCGTGTTAAAACAATAAATAAAACGTAAAATCTAACTAAATATGGCTAATCAAACAGTTGAAAAAAAGATGTTGATTTTATTAAATATCAATAAACTTTTTAAGGTAATCAATAACTTTTGAATTTGATGGTTTTATAACAGGCTTACAATTAGCGGCAGACAAATAAAGGCAACATTGTGGAGGTCACTGAAAGGCCGGAGGCACACTTATTGCGAGAAAAACAGAATAAAAAAAATTAGTCATAAAACGTAAATAAAGTAGCCAGTTGTACCTAGTAGATGAATGAGTGAGTGAGTGAGTGAGTGAGTGAGCGAACTCACCGGAAGCGGATGACAGGAAATAAAGCCTTATCTTGTAAATAAACAAACAATCAACACTAGGAACTAATCTATCTCATTCACAATCCAATGAATTATTCATAGTCGAATATTTTGGCGAGAGACAACTTTTACGGTAATTTGTCATTAATTTTACTTTATTTAGGACTTAATCTGAAGTTATGACGTTTTGACAAAAATAAATATAAATAATTTGTAAGTTATGAGGGATTATAAATGTACTACATCTTTTGTAATTTTCAACGACTAAAAAGAAGATGTTTTAAAATCTCACAAATACATTTATACAATTTTATTAGAACAAAGCAGCAGACAGCAGTATCTGACACGCGTAATCAATGACGATATAACCATTATCCTCTATGCTCGTAGTACATTCACTACCTATTCTCAATCTCAATCCTAGGAGTAATAGTTCACACACTTCAAAAACTTGGGACTGCAAAACATCAATTAATATCTAGGAAGCATATAATCAATGTTTTCTCAATCCAAACAGACAAATAAAAAGTCGTAACCAAGTAACCAGATTGCATTGTGAACATATTCGATGATGTACATAAGAATGTCGACAACCATTTAAATAGTCAGAGGTGAGGTAAACTTCTGTGTACCTTGTGACCCACGCCTGACCAAACTGTTGTTCCGACTCCAACTTTTGACCAACTGTGGAAGGCCGCGACCATATACCGATACCAAACCTCTTTGGATAACAATACATTCATGTCTTGCGAAATATACTACAAAGTATTAATATTTATCCACAAACATGGCGATCAAAAGGCTTAAACTTTAATGTCATGTAAATTGTTGTAAAACATTACATTTCAAGATAACAACGCACTTGAACTTCAATATATATTTGCAAAACGCCATAAAATATGAAATCAAGGTATTTGCCATTTTTAGAAGATAAAAAACTGTTTAATATTTTTACTTCAAGTACGAAATAACTGGCTGTAACAGCGTTGTATTATGTAACGTTACGATTTAATTATAGTTTAGGAACCTCGAATTAAGTAAGCTTCATGTTCTTACGCAGATTACTTGAAATTGGAATCATAGAGCGGAAAAGATATTAACAGAAAAACTTCTAGAAATATTTTGAGTACGACACTAGTCTAATGAAACGAAACGAGAGCTCAACGTCGCGGGTCAACACCTTGGGTTAGACAAAGAGTTATCAAGAGATATAAAACCCATTAATGGGGAAAAGTTCAATCTTTAAAAAAGTATGAATTTTATATGTATCTGTTACCTAAACTAGAGAGAAATAACGAAATGGTAAAGTTATAAATAATAAAAAGTAATGTCCAAGATAATGCGAAAACACATGATTGGATCCGTGACCATTTCCGTGGTCACGAAAATGATAAGCCTCATAAAATGGTGAAAAAGATGGCACAAGTGTCATGAAATATCTTCCTTTTGATAAGTTCCGTAAAAGCCTTACAAAAGGTTCCGATGAAAGATTTCAGCTCCTTTGTATGGTCATTACGGAAGTATGTTAATCTTCATGAAATACCGTGCCTACTTCAGATACTCTACCATAAACAAGTAGATTTGGTGAATTGCTTTAAAAGAAATTCAGTTAAAAATGTTAACTTTTAGTCTTATTAGTTAACTTTCGTTCCAGAGATGGTTAACAGTCAAGCCGTATCTCACATGTCAAGTTAAGTACCTATACAAGTAGACCTAAATAAGGACAAGGAACGGGAGAGTCAGTAAGAGAGTGACACTCCCTCACACCATACAGTGGGAGGGAGAAGTAATTTGATCATTTTCCCCTCACAAAAAAGTATGCATGTAGACTGTAAATAACTGTTTCACACAAAATTCCTAAATTTATCATATAATTTGATCATTAACAACAAAGGAAAAATACAGAAAATAATCAGTAAAAAATTTAAGGAGCAAAAGTCAGTACTCTCGTCTCAAATTATACCTACATTGCAAAGAAGCGGTGTAATGGCGGTGTCATCCAATATAATTCAGGTAATTGCGAGTATGTCATCATATTCTAACAACGTGACAAACTAACTGGCCCCCTGGCCGGCGATTGTTAACTTCATAAAGAAAATTATATTATTACCGTAAACATTTCGGTGAGTGGGAAATTTTAAAACATGATTCGCTGTTCTTTTCAGAAAAATCAAAATGTAGCAACCCTGTCGACACGGTAATACTATCTATATATTATTACCGTGCTTTCGATGCCCCAGCAATATTCCCTAACAAAACAACTGACTGATACCAAGGACAAGGTAGTTGGACATCCATGCGAAGCAGGGCTGTTAGCATTAAATAAAAAGCCTAAAAGAACAAAATAATTTATTGCGCACATATACGATTTTTGTATCTACTTATTCTTTATAAAGTTTTGGTCAAATCGATTAACTTTAACTTAGAGATGATTATGACAGGCGGCCGACATTATGCGTAAATTATACTCATTCTTGTCTATAAATAATACGCAATAAAGCACATATATGTCTAGTAGGAAATAATAATTACTTCCTATCGAAAAGCGATCATTTATCTTCCGAGTGGAAACCTGAATTTTAGACCCAGCGCACACTCGTACAATACATAAATATGGTAAGCACCGACCTATTTATGAGAATAATTTAATGCAAGTTTAAAACGATTAAAGAATACGTTTTAATAACGGTTTCTTTTGTGAAGGAAATCAAGAAACGGTACTTATACTAATTATAGTCTGGGGTAGTGTAACTTGCATAAGATAGTCCTTAACTAAAAGTAAGAAAGTCTCAAACGTGAATTCTAAGCGCTAAGTGCGTAGCATGACTGCATGTTACGATTAACAGTGTGTGCTTATCGTTAAGTGTATTATGAAGCACAAATCGGCGCGCAAACGGTACGGCAAACCACACACATGTCCGGATTGTCCGGTGAACATTGACATTGGGGAGAGTACGTTCGCGTACAGAAATCAAACCATAATTCATTTTAATTTTTATAAAAACATATTCAGACCTTGTAAAACAAGCTCTAAAAATTACCACCGCAATCATTCAAAGACCGCTTTCGTACTAAGTCCCAACAATATCAGTTATGATTCTGTAAAAATACAAGTCTAGGAATTTAAAACGGAATCTATTGACGGATGAGAGTGACTAAAATGTAAAAGAATAATTTCTACGTCTATAAAAACATAACTATTTGTCTTTTTCGGAAGTAAGTCTTAATATAGATGTGAGTTAACTGACTACATTTTCTAAAATGTCTTTCGATAATTACTATTTAATTACTATGACATTTTTTCACAAAAACAAAACAAACCTGATGTTTTATAAAAACAATAGATAGTAAATGTCAATGTTTATAAATACCTCTGATAGACTTGTTCCCACGGGTAATTAGACACGTCTTAATTAATTATTATCGACAACATTAATTTTTATGTGTTTATAATCAGTTGTTTGAGTTGTCAGCTTTTATGAATACAATTATCATAAATTGAATTAAAATAATTGATAACATTTATCGCCGTAGTGGCTCGGAGGTTGAGACGTCCGCTTCTTACATATAAGGTTGCTAAGTTTCGAACCCTTTCGGTTCCCAACCAATGTGACTTTTTCCGAGTTATATGTACTTTCTATGATTTATTTAAAGTTTAAACACCGCTGTCGTACGGTAAAAAAAAACATCGTGAGGAAACCTGGACTTATCATATTGTAATTAAGTAAGAAATTGCCAATACGCCTTGAGCAAGCGTGGTGATAAACAATTAAACCTTCTTCGTGTGAGAAGAGGCCTTTGCTCTGACCTAGTAAGGATGAGTCTTAGATAGATTCCTAGGTGGTGCATCGTGTTTGTATTTTTTATAATACTCATTAAGAAGACTGACCGGCAGACGGACACTTTAAAATTTTGTTTGACGTTCAAAAGTTCCTGTAAGTGTCGAATTGAAATAAATGATTTTTGACTTTGACTTTAATAAATAATTAGTTTTTTCATTATCAGTAATATGCTCATCTTTGCATATAAGCTACCTAACCTATATGAGTTTTTTTTACAACTAAATAAGCAACATAGAACCAACATAATATTAATTTGCCTTATTTATATTAATCAGAGGTTAAATTTGACTTTGATAAATGAACTATGGAGTAGAAGTATCAAATACAAACATTTTGGATATTATAATAATAACAACAACAACAATGCATGATTGTTACTAATTACATTAATTAACAGCTAAAATTAAGTAATTGTTTATAGGAAACGAATAACTATCGTTCACTTTGTCTAGTGAGATAATATATTGTGTTTTGTACGCCGGAACTGAGAACAGACATGAGTTTAAGACAAGGGTTTGCATTTAATCATCGTTGTTTACGACATAAATAGTTTTTTGGTTATTAATATAAAAAAGAATAACCTATTTTTTAGTTAATGACACGGTAGCTGTAAAGAGTACCTTCGGATGAGTATATAGTTTAAGTATTTGTTAAGGCGATAAAACAGAATATAATAGATCAAACGTTTGAATAGAAAGAAGCATAAATCTTATTAATAATAAATATTTAAATATGACAACAAAGCTAAGTACAAGATTTTTAATATTCTGACTGCACGGTTGGCGTTGGGGGTAGGCAACTGGCTGCCGCTCAACGTGTCGGGGATTCGATTCAGGCATGGAACAACTTTTTGAGTGATCCACAAATTGTTGTTCCGGTTCTGGGGTGTGATGTGTACGTGAAATTGTATGTTTTTAGAGGCACCCACGACACCGGAGAAAATCATAGTGCAACGTTTTTTTAAAACAAAACATTATTTGAGATATTTTCTGCGAAATATCTTCGAGACTTCAGTTCACAACAGTACTTGGTATTAGATTAGCATACAAGTAATCTTGTTTTAGACACGAGATTGTATATACAACAGTATCTAAGTGTAGTATAGAAATGGTACAGTTCTGTATCACGACTCCTTCACAGGCTAACTGTCAATGCCACCCCATGACACTTAGGTACAACATAATAATTGAAAGAATTACTATGCACATTCGAACTGAACGATTCCGGTAGGAAATAGTTATTTATCGAGTACTTAATAAAAGTAAGTGTTTATGTACCCTTTGTGATATTAATTTTCTTTATTATTACTGTACATAAACAAATCAATTTCAATGCAACGTGTTTTGCGTAGGTAGATCCTGCAAAAATAGGACATTCTGATGTAATTCTTAAAGTATCAGTGTAAAAATAAAAAGTTTAAATCTTCTTCAAATGGAGTGATACTGCAGCCACATATGGGCTGGTGCTGCCAAATGCCACCTAGCGGCTTTGGATTCAGTGGAAAGGCGTGCAAAGTGGCTGATTGGTGATCCAGATTTGGTTGGGTCCAATCTTCAAAGTCTCGAGCACAGGCGCAGAGTAGCCAGTCTTGCGTTTTTCTACAGGATGCATTTTGGAGAGTGTGCTCAGGAATTGCACGATTTGATTCCGCCATCCCAATTTCACCTTCGGACATCCCGGCGTACGGCGAATATCCACCCCTACGTTGTTGAGACACCTGCGGCCCGAACTAAGCGTTTTGCCTCGTCATTTATACCGCGTCCATCGAGGGATTGGAACAGTTTGCCGGCTGCAGTCTTTCCGTCCAAATACAATTTAGGTGTCTTCAAGGCTAGAGTGAATAGGCTCTTAATAAACTAGTGCGCCTTACCATCAACGATTGCATCACTGCTTACCA